TCCCAAACTGCGTTTTCAGGGAACTATAGCACTGGAGTTTCTTGAGCAAATCCCCGATTTAGACGCACTACTGGTAGCTGTTGGCGGTGGTGGTCTTTGTTCTGGAATTGTTGTTGCTGCAAAGAAAATCAAACCGGCTATAAAAGGTTCGTGTTTTTTAAAACCGGCTATTAAAGGTTCGTATTTTTTAAATTTGAAGATTCTTGCTGAAGGGGAAAATTAGCGGTGCCTTAGCAAGCCATGAAACGACGCATAGTAGGTGTCAGCAAGCTGCAGCGCGTTTCCAATGAAGAATTGTTCTTACGGTCTATTGTGAGCAATGCTATCTACAATGCTTGGCCAGAAGAAAGCTTGCGCTAGTAACGCGGTAATAAATAAAAGACAACGAATGGACAAAGCAGAATATTCAATGGTATTCACGCGACGTTAAAACGCATGGCGGAAGGTCACGTTTGAATGGCTATGTAGAATTATATGGATGAGAGACGAGCAAAATGAAGGAGGACTTGCTTTTCGCACCGCTCTAAAATTGGCGTAAAGCCTTAAAATCAAACCATACACTAGTTTTAAATTCAGTTCTTTGCAGTATATTGCGTGGAACCAGAGGGGAAGAATCTGCAACAATCGTTCGATGCTAGCAAAAGATCCTGGGACCCCGATGCTGGCCCAGTGAAAACGATCGCTGATGGTATTCGAGTACTGCGAATCGGCGAAAAATGCTTTTCACCAATTTTAGAGCAATGCGAAAAGCAAGTTTTCACTGTGGTGAGTAATATTCGCTTTTTCTCAGTACATGAGTAAAAAAAGCGCATTCTGCAAAGCTTAAATGAACACACTTCCACCTGTGTGGCCTGAAATACAGGGGCCAGGATAATGACTGGGCCTGTTATGAGAATTTGGGAAAAGCTCGGAGTCTCAAGCCACAGATACTTTCGAAGCTTTCTTTGAATTACATCCGAGACAAGCTAAAATTGATAGGTTTCGCATAATTAGCTTGCAAACAGATACGAAATTTAACATTTAATTCAATGATCTAAACATAACTTTCTTTAACCCCAGGCTGGAACGCACCGGGCGGGCCCGTGCGATCATGCGTTTTTGCACAGGACTTGAAGTACTC